ATAACAAATGGATAAAAGAAAAATATAACAACATGCTCCCAATAAACAACAAAACAGTTGAATTCAATGGTCAAAATATGACTTTAATTCTAAGGTCAAGCTCCAACACCAGGTCACCCTAATTAATCAGAATCCCCTTTTAAACCAGTTTGACAATTTGACCATATAATACAGAAGTTTTAGATTTAAACAAATTGCATCATCCATTTTACATCATACAATGATCATTACTCAACCATCTTCATGTATCAATAAAGTTCCCAATTAAATAATTACCAGAAACAAATACTAAATCCATGAACATAAATATACTTTTTGCTTTCCACATTAAATGGCAACATTAATTTATTTGCATAATAATTGAAATAATGAAAACACACAATAAACTATAGTTGACCAATTCATCTTCCTAGGAATAAAAAAGGTTTGACCTTGGTGCCAACTACTAGTAGGTACAAGAAAAATAAAAAATAAAAAATAAAAAAAATAAAATAATGGGTGTTTCTATCTCGTGATAAAGGCGTTACAGCAGGAGCAGGGAAGATTCTGAAACTTTCTTTACATACTGTCCACAAACAATCAAAACGCACCCCACTTGTGTATTCCAAATTTTTGTGATTTCATATTCATTTTCAAAGATTTTTTATTATATAAAATAATGCTAACAATTTGTTTTATATATGACTTTTGTTCTCTATTAAAAATATTGATAAATTAAATAATTAATATTTCACTATGAATTATGAGAAAAAAGAATCAAACTTACATGTTGCATGCTTAATAAATTAGGTACTGTATGTTTTTGGTGCTATGATTATCCTTCCATCCACATTGATAATGATGTGTAAATTTCAATCTTTGACGTGGTCAATAAGACAATTGCACAAGCGAACAAAATTTATCTTTTTCTGATAATAATGTTGTCTAGAATCGCTATTTTGGTATATAAAATTATACCATACTACAAATGAATTATCGAAAATTTATTAATTGTAATTTATTAAAAATAGTCAAATTATTACTAAACGATTAATATGTAATAATTGTATAACAAAAGCATGCCAATAAAAATAAATTAGTATATCAAAATAATCTATATTTTTTTAAAAAATAAAATGAATTTGAAGAATAAATTTGCATGTCCAGTGACAGATGCTTGAAGGCAGATTCGGAAGCACGCGTGAGACATTGCCCGTGAGGTTTTGATTTGGTGTATCTGGTCCCAGTGTGAAAATGAAGTCTCTTGGGATCATCACCAGATCAAGATCGCACGTCCAGAATCAAACGGTCCTGCGACCGTAATCAATGAAATCTCATAGACGCAACAAGAAAACTCACTTATTAGTTATTACACATTTTGTGTTATTTAAGTCTCTTCTATGCTTTGTTACTAAGGGATGAAAAATAGAATGTTAAAAAAAATAAGTGAATAGAAAGAGTAATAGCTAAGAGCATCTACAATGGGAGTTGCTTATAAGCAACTCCCAACC